GCCATGGCACCCTGGCAGATTTTCCCTCCCCTGCAATCCCCTCCTCTGATCGATGAGCTCCTCTCAGAACAGCCATTTTAAGGCATTGCCCAGGCCAGCCATGCTCACTTCTTCACGCCTTTCCTGTCTTTGCTCCTGACTCTCTGGACTTCTTTCTCTACCAAGCATATCCCTTCCCCTACTTTTTAGCATCTTTTATGTACTCTCTTCCCCTATAAGCTTCTTGAGGGCAGATAAGTGGGTGGTACAGTAGATAGAGTATAGGACCTGGAGTCAGGAAGACCTGAGTTCAAATCCAGCTTCAGACACTTGCCAGCGGTATGACCCTGGGCAGGACCCTCAACCACCATCTGCCTCAGTTTCCTCATCTGTAAAATAGGGTTAGCACTTACCTCCCAAGGTCTTTGTGAAGATCAAATGAGATATTTGTAAAATTTGCAAAAAAAAAAAAAAAAGCACTATGTAAATGTTGTTGTGATTCCAGCACTCAGCCCTGCGCCTGACCCACAGCAAATGCTTAACAGATGCTTGTTGACTTGATGGAGCTGTGATTTGGTCCAGTCATTCTAGAGAGTATTTTCAACTACGACGCCAAAGACAGTAGACTGTCCATGCACCTTTTGGCCTGCTGATACCACTACCGGGTTATACCGTCAAAGAGATCAAAGAGAGAGGAGAGGCAGCAACGTGTACAACGATTCACAGGAGCATTGTTTGTGTGGTAAAGAACTGGGCAAAAGTGAAAGGCCATCGTGTGGGGGAAGGACTGAAGAAATTATGGTGTGTGAAAGGAATGGGCCATAAGAAATAAGGGTTTCAGAGAAAGATGTGTCAATCGATGCAGAGTGAACTTGGGACAGCAGGAACCAGGGACAGCAACAACGGAAAGACAAACAGCCAGAACGTCTTAAAAATGCCACTCAATGGTGCAACCGAGCCTGTGTCTCAAGGACCGTCTCCTGGAGGGCTCCGGGGGGAGAAGGAGCCGCAGACCTTTGGAACGTGGTCAGTGCACGGCTTTGCTTGATGACGACAACCGGTTCCCAGGGAGGTTTGTTTCTGAGGGGATGGGGAGGGGTAAGAGACAGGTTAGTGACAATGACACGAAGCCAGAACATCAGAGAAGCATTTACTTGGAATCAGTGTTTCCATGTGTTTGCTCTGGGTGAGCTCTGTGGTTAGCAGAGCACTGGACAGACGGCAGCTCAATTGATCCTCACAACTCTGGGTGGCGGGTGCTATTGCCATCTTGTTTTACAGATGAGGAAACTGAGGCAGACTGGTTAAATGACTTGCTTAAGGTCATATAGCTAGTGTCTGAGGCAAGATTCAAACTTGTATCTTCCTGAATACAGGCCCCATGATGATGATGATGATGATGATGGTGATGATAACAAGAACAACAGTTACCATTTATGCAGCATCCACCACATACCAGACTTTGGGCTAAGTGCTTTACAACGATGATCTCACTTGATCCTCACAACCACCCTGGGAGGGAGGTGCTATTATTATCCCCATTTTACAGATGAGGATACTGAGGCAAACAGAGGTTCAGTGACTTGCCCAGGGTCACACAGCTAGTAAGTGTCTGAGGCCACATTTGAACTCAGCTCTCCCTGACACCAGGCCCAGAGCTCTATCCACTGCCTAAAAATTAAGATTTCATTTAAAGTGCTCTGAGGAGGGCAGAAAGAGGCTAGAGGCAAACACAGATGAGCAGGATGGCCCTGGATCTCCCCTGCTGTATTTATTCTACATCATGGAAACTCCCAGTTTCAACCACATTCTTCTTTTTATGTTCTTTGCATGTGAAAATGCTCGTATTTGTTGGTCTTTGTCAAATTGAGAACCACAAGGAATAAACAGGTTACTAAAAACAACCCCAAGTCCTGAAGCCTGTCTTCCTGTTCCACGCATTGAGCTCTCAGAGGGCCCTGGAAAAACACGAGGCTGCACATGTGACCCCAGCACAGGCCTGAGTACAAATGACCTGGTCAGGAGCAAGAGTGAGGGCTGACAGCTGTCCAGTTCTGGGCGCTGGACAGAGCCCTGAGGAGGCCGGGGGAGGAGGTAGACGAGTCACACTGCCTGGTGCTCAGGACCAGAGCACGTGAGATCACGCGTCCCTCAAACAGGAACGCCAGCTTCCCCACCGCCCTCCCTTTGGCTGGGGCCTCTTGCTTGTCAAAGCCATGAGCTCCCCGCTCTGCCATCCCCTGCGTTAGCATCTCTCCCGGCTCAGCATCATCTGTAAATGAGGCGATCAAACCATCTGGGTCACTTATCAGTCAGTGTGTGACTGATAACACTGCTATCGCTATCAACAGGCCAGGCCAAGCACAGATCTCGGGGCGCGCACTGGAGACCTCCCTCCCAAGTTGCTCCTGATGCATTAATGAACGAATCCAATTCTTTGTTTCTGCTCTCTGATTGTCCATGAAGTACTGTCTACCCCTCATCTCACTAGCACCTAACTGGCCAAACTATAGGTAAAGCACAGTCTCAGGTACCACAGCAGGATGCACAACAAACGTAGCCCTTCACTCAGTGCTGGGCGAGGGATGGAGGCCCTTCTCCTCCTCCAGCCCCTCGCTTTGGAAAGGGGTCCTGGAGTTCCTTCAAGGTCACCCACGGTCCAGAAAGGTCTGCACCAGCTCCCGTGGAGCCCATGAGAATACTTAAACCATAAATACTTGGTTTCCTCTCCTAGCTCACTAGGGGCAGGGCTTGAGATGAGTCTCCACTGTGTCCCTAGACTCAAGGGCAAGGACTCAGTGACCATTCCTCTGTCCCCTCAGACTGGGGGCTCCCATGCCTCTGTTTCCCTCTCCAAAGCTCGGAGCACAGGGGGCTTGGTTGGGGCCAGCTGGTATGAGCTAGGCAGCATCTTGGGGCCTCATCCCACTCTCTGCTCCTTAACTCCCTTATGCCAACGGTGACATGGCATATTAGAGCAGCTGGCTGGCCTTCCTCCTCCTCCTCCTCCTCCTCCCTGGGCAAGCCGGTGATGCCAATGACCCCAAAAGGCCACAGGGCTCATATATTGCTCTCCCTGGCTTCAAGCTTGGCTTCTAAACCAGAAATGTAACAGTGTTTACCCACAAGGTACTTGGGAATCGGGCTGAGGGTTTAGAAAGGGAAGAAACCATGTCTTCACAAAAGTAGCATGGAGACAGGGTGTGGAGTCTGGGTCCCAGTCCCAGGGCAGTGATAGAGCCTTGGGAGGGAAGGGGTCCTCCTCTACCCCTCAGAGGCGGAGCAGGGAAGGGCAAGAGAGAAGCCTTTTTGGAAGGTTGGAGAGCGTGTGTCTGATGGCGGGTCAATGGGCAGTGGGAGGCTGGGGAGCCACAGATGTCTGTGCAGGCAGAGCTGCGCTGCCCACCCTGCCAGAGAAGGGTGGGGGAGATGGAGCAGGGAGGAAGACATTGCACTGTGGCCTGCAAGTGGAGACCCCCTTGCCCAGGGAGGTCTCCCAGGGAGGACACGGCAGCTCCCTGAACAGCCCAAGAAGAAGCAGAGCCAGCTGGCCCATATGCCAATGCCTCCTCAGCCTGGGGCAGAGGGCTGACAGACAGACACTGGTGAATGGACTCTTTGTTGGCTTTCTTCCCCGCAGCCAGGGCCCCTCTCAAGGATCTCGGGGAGACTGCCATGACATAACGTTGGCAGCAAATGACTTGGCTGAATGCAGCCCTCCCCACACGTCATCTGGGGCTCCCCACCCTCCCACCGCCCCTCGGCTTGCCATGTGACGCGTGCTCTCCAACCCTCCCAAAGGGCTTGCCTCTTGCCCCTCCCTGCTCCCTCTCTGAGGGGTAGAGGAGGGCCCTTCACCTCCAATTCACCTCATTTCCACCCAAGGACTCTCCTTCCCCAAAGCCCTGATATGGGCATCATTGAAGACTAAGTATACCTCTTAGTATGAAAACAGCCATGAAGGCGGTACCCTCTGCCTTCCATTGATGGCCGGGGCTGAAGGGGCTGCTACCTGGGCAAGCGGGGACCCATACTATACAAAGTGCCACTGAACAATGGTAATGAAAGGCGGTGATGAGAAAGGGCTGCCCAAGAGAAGATCAGCCTCATGGCCCCGGGGGGGAGGGGGAAGGACGGCGGACAGCAGAGATGTCCAGGGTCCGGAGCAGGGGGATCCTCCCTCCCCCCCGCCCCTTCACGCTAACGGGGGCTTGTCCAAATCCTCCCAAACACCCAGAGGGACTTCAAAGGCAGCAGGAAAAAGGCATTGCTTTGTCCAGTGGTGTTACCCCCAAATGCCCCTCTTCTCACTTTTCTTCACCCAAACATAAATCATTCAGGTTGTGAAGCTCAGTTTGCGGCTGAAGGCTAGGCTCTGGTTGATTACTTATTTGTTAATTTAGAGGGAAGTTGGGGGGAGTAGGCCCTGCCCTCGATGGGGTGAGAGTCTGGGGAGACAGAGGAGCCAGCTCCAATGGGGACTCCCTTCATTGGAATCATTTACATCACACAATAAAACCAAGCCCTCTTGGGCCCCAAGTCTCCCTTAGGACCAGAAGGTTTGTTCCAGCCTTGGCCACAAAGTACTTCTTAGGATGCTACTAAAATCTCATAGGGAACGAAGGCTACCCTGGAGACAATGTTCCCTATTCTGGAGTGAGTTCCACAAAATGGCTCCATCTGCTCTAAGATGCTGAGCTGGTCAAGGGTGTGTGTGCATGTGTGTACGCATGTGTGCGTGTGTGCACGCGTGTGTGCACATGTGCACGCGTCTGCTGGTGCACACACAGGTGTGTGTGTTCCTGAAAGTGCAGATGTGTGCCCGCTACCTTTAGTCTGGTCCAAGAAGGATCTATGTTGGATGACATTTGGGATGAGAGCATGGCTCGTCCCCTTACCTATGGGAGGTGGATGACTTCTGTGCAAGGCCAAGGACCAAGAACAGACAGAGCTCAGCAGACAGAGCTCCAGACCAGCTGACTCCTCGAGCCAAAGGAGTCAGTTCAACAGGGGTGACTTACCACTGGGTTCGTGTCGACAAATTCAAGATCAGCGTCCAGAAAACTGCCTCAGTCCAGTGGCCGGTGCTCACATCAGGCCGAGAGCTTCTGAGAAGCCAGTCTGGGAGAGAGAGAGCAGACAAGGAATCAGACACCATCGACTCGCTACAAAAGGAGCCGAAGGGGCCTCGTGCATCAGAATTGGAGGGCACCAGCTACACCCGGAGGGCCCTCGAGGCGTCAGGAGACACGGACATGGGAGCCCAGGCTTTGCCCACCGCAGCACTCAGCCTCGCTCTCCCCTAAATAAAGGCTCTCCAAGGCAAAGGAGGAGGTGAGCTATCCTCTCTTCTCAGCCCCAAGGCTGCTGACTTCTCCAAGTTGGATGGGAGAGAGAACAGTGTAGTTGTCGGCATTTTCCCCTCAAATGAGAGGACTCCAGCAGGAATGGGGTGAGGACAAGAGATGAGATGGGGAGAAGGAAGAGGAGAGGTGGAGAGGAGGAGGAGGAGAAAAGACGTGGAGGAAGTGGAGAGATGGGAAGGAGGAGAAGAGATGGAGAGAGCGCTGAGGACAAGAGACATGGTTCAGTCAGACACTGCATGCAGGTCTAGGGGTACACTGCCATACTGCTGCCTGGATCCATTGTTACACAAGCCCATCATTACCTCTCCAGAAGATGCCTAAGAAGACCTTGAGGAGGCATAGAAGTGGATCCCAAGAGATGAGTGACTTAAAAATACAGACCCAATCCCCAGCGGCGAGAAGCGATCCATTACGGGAAGGCAGCTCTACCGATTTTCCCTCTCCAGCGTAATAGATGGGAAAGCAGTACCCATGAGCGGAAATGGCAACCCCTGCTGCCCACGCATGCAGCCGCCCTCATCTGGGGATCAATCGACTTCTAAACAGAATATATCATTATCCATTGATTTCCCTTCCCCCCCAACTACCCCCAGCTTTCTGGAGTTCTGGGCAGCCCAGGAAGGCCATGACGATAACCCATCCTGCCTGACAGGAGCGAGCTCCCCTCCGACAAGGTGACAGGCTTCCTACGGGCCCCTTCCAACTCGGGCTTTTTCAGCATCTCCTGACAGAGATACAGAGGGGCTGCCCAAGAGTTGCATTACAGGTGACAGTAGGAGCAATGGCATTTGTCATACCAGGGCAGCATCCCCTGTATGATTAAGAAATCACTCCCACCCAAACAAAACCCAACCAAGCTCCCAGCTGCACTGCCTCCTTCGGCCATGTAGCAGCTAAAGCAGCTTCCTCTCCCTGGCCCCCCCGGGCCAAGGGGAGGGAGGGAAGTGGACCGCTCATCTTCTCCAGGCTCTGCGCCTGCAGGGCTGCCCTGCTGGATGGCAGCTCAGAGAGAGGGGCTTCTGGGAAAACACAGACCCCCATCAACACTAATTGGGCACCTACTGTGTGCACAGCTGGGCTGAGGTGGTGGTGCTGAGAGCACTGAGAGAGAATGATTGTCTAGCTGCGACTTGATCCCTGGCCTCAGGGAAATTCTAGTCTGCTAAGGGGACGTCACACACAGAGTCTGATCTGATCAGTGCAATAGAGGGAGTCTTCAGGGACAGCGTCCTTATTGATAGTAGAAGTGAAAAAAGGCAAAGATGAGCTGGACCTGCCCTATTATTACCATTTTACAGGTGGGGAAACTGAGGATCAGAACACTGAAGTGACTTGCCCAGGGTCATACAGCTAATAAGTATCAGGGGCATGGTCCAGTCTAGCACTCTATCCACCAGGCAACACTGCCTGTCACAGACTCTGAGTTCTCCTATGAAGCCCACTTTTGGTCCCAAGAGTGAGACTGGTCTGGGAATCACAAGAAGCAGTAAATCCATCTTCCTTCCTTCCTCCTCCCCTTCCTTCCTTCTTCTCTCTTCCCCTTCCTTCCTTCCTCCTCCCCTTCCTTCTTCTTCTCTCTTCCCCTTCCCTCCTTCCTCCTCCCCTTCCTTCCTTCTTCTCTCTTCCCCTTCCTTCTTCTTCCCTCCCTCCCCACCTCATCCAGGCTGCAGACCTCAGGTACTCAGGAGAACTGTGCTTCTGCTGAAGCTGCTGGACTCCTCACCCACGTGACTTGGCCAACAGCTCCTCCACCCAATGAGCACAAGCTTAGCCCCGACCAGAACATGCCCAAACCAAGGACTGTGATACAGGCTACAAAACAGAAAGTTATTTCTAGCAGCGATGCCATCTCCTCAACCCTCGATACAGTCAGGCTGTGGGGGACATTTCCAGTTCCAAGTGGCCAGAAATGGAATTCTGAATAAAAAAGCCTGCATTCTAAAGCAGGTTTTTTTTAAACCCATTGGTATGGGAGCCAAGATGGCAAATTAGAGACAACCCAGCTGAAATCTCTCAACATTCCCCTCCAAACAACTTTAAAATAATTCCTCAAATCACATTTTGGAGTGACAGAACCAACAAAAGGTCAGGGTGAGACATTTTTTTCCTGGCTTAAGAAAACTTAGGAGGTCATCTAGAGAGGTCTGTGACCCTGGGGTGGAGACTTGTCTGGGTGCAGCTCCCATGGCGGAAGCAGCGGCAGCTTCAGGAGCTCTCAGCCCAGAGATGGTAAAGGGGCTGGGCAACTGGTCAGAAAGAGATTACAGGGGACCCTTTGCTGGCACTGAGTGCAGCTAGCACTGATTGGCACTTCCATTGCCCATATGTAGCTCTGGATTGCAGTTCCAGGGTGGAGAGGAATGCTGGGGGTCAGTTCCGAGAGAGCAGGGGAACTGGTCACAGTTCCAAGACCAAGAGGAGCACTAGTGCTTATAGCTGCAGAGGAGCAGGGGCCCTTCCTGGGTATAGACCAAAGTGCAGACCAGGAGAACAGTGACCACATCTCCCCCTGAACACACCTTGGAAGCACTGAAAACTTGCAGACCCCCAGAACTAGCTCTGAAAGCAGCAGCACAAAAAAAAGCCAGAAGCTTAAGACAGTGTCTCCCCATCCCTAAATGAGCAAAGCTCAACTTTAACATAAAGTTCAAAGTCAAGAAATATGCTGGAAAAATCAGCAAACCACCACAACAAAAGAACTTGACCATAAAAAAGCTACAGGAACACCAAGACACAAACTCAGAAGATGACAATAATGTGGAAAACAGCTATAAGCAAAGCCTCTAAGAAAAATCCTAATTGGACCCAAGACAAACAACTATTCCTGGAAGACTTAAAGAAAGAATTCAGAGTAAATAGAGGAAAAATTAAGAAAAGAAATGAATGACACAAGAAAATTAGGAAAAAAGAATTAATAGCTTGGTAAAAAGAGGTACAAAAATAGTGAAGAAAATATCACATTAAAAAACAGAATTGGCCTAATGGTAAAAGCGGCACAAAAATTCACTGAAAAGAACTTCTTAAAAAGCAGAACTAAATGAGGCTAAATGAGAAAAAGAGGTACAAAAGCTTACTGAAGAAAATAATGCCTTAAAAATTAGAACTGGGCAAGTGGAAACTAATGACTTCATTAGACATCAAGACACAATAAAAGAAAATAAAAAGAATGAAAAAAATAGAAGAAAATGTGAAATATCTCATTGGAAAAACAACACACTTGAAACAGATTGAGAAGAGATAATTTTAAAAATTATTAGACTACCTGAAAGTCATGATAAAAAAGAGCCTAGATATCATATTTCAAGAAATTATAAAGGAGTGGAGGGCTTGGAATATGATATTATGGAAGGCAAAGGAGCTAGGATTACAATCAAGAATAACCTACCCAGAAAAACTGAATATAATCCTTCAGGGGAAAAAATGGTCATTTATTGACATCGAGAACTTTCAAGCATTCCTGATGAAAAGACCAGAGCTGAATAGAAAATTTGACATTCAAATACAAGACTCAGGAGAAGCATAAAAAGGTAAGCATGAAAAATTAATCCTAAGGGACTTAATAAAATTAAACTGTTTATATTCCTATATGGGAAAATGATACTTGTAACTCCTAAGAACTTTATCATTATTAGGGCAGTTAAAAGGAGTATATACAGACAGAAGACATGGGTGTGAGTCAATTATGTTGGAATGATCTCAAACAAAATGAAGGGGTGAGAAAGAGGGATGCACTGGGAGAAGTGGGAAGGGAGAGGTAGAATGGGGAAAATTTTCTTACATAAAAGAGGTGAGCAAGGAAGAACTTTTACAGTGAAAGGGAAAATGGCATGGGTGGTGGGCAATGCTTGACCCTCACCCTCACTGGAATTGATTCAAAGAGGGAAGAATGTATATACACAATCACTTACGTACAGAAAAATATCTTACCCAATACAGAAAGAGGAAAAGAAGGGGATAATAGAAAGGGGGTGGTGGTAAAGTGGGGAGCAGATTAAAGGAGGCAGTGATTAAGAGCAAAATAGACATTTAAGAAGGGACAAGATAAAAAGAGAGAGAAGGTTAAACAGGAGGAAAATAAGATGGAGAGAAATACATAGTTAGCAATCATAACTGTGAATGTGATGAGCTCGCCCATAAAATGGAAGAAATAGCAGAACTGATTAGAAATCAGAATCCAACAGGATGTTGTTTGCATGAGAAACATCTGAAACAGAAAGACACATACACAGATTTAAAATAAGGGGATAGAACAGAATCTAATATGCTTCAACAGAAGTAAAAAAGGCAGGGATAGCAATCATGATCTCAGACAAAGCACAGGCAAAAATAGATCTAATTAAAAGAGATAATCAGGGAAACTACATTATGCTAAAAGGTACCACAGACAATAAATATAAAATTTTTTTACAGCAAGTTTCCCTGATGAAGGCCTCATTTCTCAAATATATATTGAATATTGAATTGAGTCAAATTTATAAAAATAAAAGCCATTCCTCAAATGATAAATGGACAAAGGAAAGAAACAGGCAGTTTTCAGAAGAAATCGATGCTATCCATGGCCATATAAAAATGCATTAAATCGCTATTTATTAGAGAAATGCAAATTAAAACAATTCTGAGGTGCCACATCACCCCAATCAGATTGGCCAACATGACAAAACAGGAAAATGATAAATGTTGGAGAAGATGTAGGAAAATTGGAACACTAATGCATTGTTGGTGGAGTTGTGAAATGATTCAACCATTTTGGAG